CAAAATTTGGGGGGGTCCCCAAACACTCAGAACCCCAAAATGGCTCCTGAGAGGATCCCAGGGCTCCAAAATTGGGAAATCCCAAATCCCAGGGACATCCCAAAGCTCCTCTTTGGGGTCATCCTCGTGAAGAAATGCCCAAAATGCACCTGGACCCCAAAATTTGGGGGGGTCCCCAAACACTCAGAACCCCAAAACGGCTCCTGAGAGGATCCCAGGTCGCTCTGTGCCCCAAAATTGGGAAATCCCAAATCCCAGGGAAATCCCAAAGCTCCTCTTTGGGGTGAATTCCATCAGGGAGTGCCCAAAATGCACCTGAACCCCAAAATTTGGGGGGTCCCCAAACACTCAGAACACCAAAACGGCTCCTGAGAGGATCCCAGGGCTCCAAAATGGGGAAATCCCAAATCCCAGGGACACCCCAAAGCTCCTCCTTTGGGGTCATACTCGTGAAGAAATGCCCAAAATGCACCTGGACCCCAAAATTTGGGGGGGTTCCCAAAGTGTCAGAACCCCAAAACAGCTCCTGAGAGGATCCCAGGGCTCCAAAATTGGGAAATCCCAAATCCCAGGGACATCCCAAAGCTCCTCTATGGGGTGAATTCCATCAGGGAATGCCCAAAATGCACCTGAACCCCAAAATTTGGGGGGGTCCCCAAACACTCAGAACCCCAAAACGGCTCCTGAGAGGATCCCAGGTCGGTCTGTGCCCCCAAACTGGGAAATCTCAAACCTCAGGGTCACCTCAAAATTCCTCTTTGGGGTCATACTCGTGAAGAAATGCCCAAAATGCACCTGAACCCCAAAATTTGGGGGGTCCCCAAACACTCAGAACCCCAAAACGGCTCCTGAGAGGATCCCAGGGCTCCAAAATTGGGAAATCCCAAATCCCAGGGACACCCCAAAGTCTCTTTTTGGGGTGAATCCCATCTGGGAGTGCCCAAAATGCACCTGAACCCCAAAATTTGGGGGGGTCCCCAAACACTCAGAACCCCAAAATGCCGTGGGAGAGTCCCTAAAAGAAAATTAAGAACCCCAAAACTGGGTTAGCACCCCCAAAATTGGATAAAAGTCCCCAAAAATGGGATTAAAATGATCCAAAATCGGGATAAAATTCCCCAATACGGGATAAAATCCTCCAAAAAACGGATAAAATTCCCCCAAAATTGGGATAAAATTCCCCAAAATTGGGATAAAATTCCCTCAAAATGGGATAAAATTCCCCAAAACGGCAGAAATGACTCCAAAATGGGATAAACGATCCTAAAAATGAGATAAGAGACCCTAAAAATGGGATAAATGACCCTAAAAGTGAGACAATTAGCCCAAAAAATCGAATTAATGACCCCAAAAATGGAGCAAACGACCCTAAAAAGGGAATTAATGACCCCAAAAACCGGCCAAGCATTCCTAAAAACGGGATAAACGACCCCAAAAATGGGACAAAAGAACCCAAAAATGGGAAAAACGACCCTAAAAATGGAATTAATGACCCTAAAAATGGGACAAATACCTCGAAAAATCGAATTAACGACCCCAAAAAGGGAATAAAAGACCCTAAAAAGGGAATTAATGACCCTAAAAATGGGATAATCGACCCCAAAAACGGGACAATTACCCCCAAAAATTGAATTAAGGGCCCCAAAAACGGAATAAATGACCCTAAAAAGGGAATTAATGCCCCCCAAAACCCCACAGACGACCCCAAAAGGAGGTCGGGACCCCCCCCGGAGGGGCCCCCACCCCATTTTTGGGATGGGGGAGGGGCGG